AAGCTACTTGGATGAGTAGTAAAATGTTTTGACCTAACAAGAAAGAAGTCCAGTTTTCATGACTCAGCTTCCAGATAACCTCACCGGGATGACTGAGAATTTTTATAGGTTATAAACACTGCTGATTGTGCACTACAGACATAGAATCTGACATGAAAGTTGATTTAAGAATTTCAAGGGTTGTTTTTTTTCCAACCTCAAAACCTCTTGGTGTGAAGTCACTGTTATGGTAACCCAAACTGTGCAGGCAAAAAGTATATTAAGGAATAGGTGTTTAGTTTCCATTATTTATTTTTAAGGTGTTCTTACTACAACTCATATTTGATATAGGTATTGATACAACTCTTTATACATATGAAAAGGTGTTTATTTGGTTTGACTTGCAACAGTAAACTGACTCTACACTTGCACACAGTATAACGTGAAATGTTATGCAAATTCTGCCTTTTTTATTTCCATATTTCTATAAATACTTTGCAAACAGCAGTTCTGAAAACAAGAGATATCAATGAAGCAGGCTTTAGATTCAAATAAGAAGTCCTTGGGTGAGGAGCAGGTGGGGCAAGCCAGAATCACTATTGTTCATCCATGGTGCTATCCTTGAGGGCAAAGGGTTAAGGGAAACAAACGTGATAGCACAGCTGAAGATAACTCTAGAGAGGGCTGGAGCTTAGCTCACCTCTGAAACTCTTATGCATGACAGAGATTTGTTAGATGTATACAGTAAAAGTCAGGTAGATTGCTTTCTACAGGCCTGTTTGTTGAATTTCACACCCAACTACCCAGGAAGCACATTCATTATTTATCTAGTTCAAGCAGAACAACAGCTCAACTCTGAACATGTTCACTTGTTGAAGGAAGCTAGCTTCCCTCTTCTTCATTAACAAGACAACTACAACCCCAGCTGTGGCATCTACCCCTTTCCTGGATCACTTTCATGCAGGTGTTCATTAATCCCATATAGCTCCTCTCCCCCCCCTCCCCAGTCCCACAAACGTTCCAATGAGGCTTGTTGTGCTTGATGGGTTCTTTTGGCGATTTTTTTTTCAGTCCCAGTGCGTTCTGATGCAGCTTGCTGTGTTTGTTTGTGGGTTTATTGGTGACTTTTTTTTCAGCCCCAGTGCGTTCCATTGGGGCTTGATGTGTCTGTTTTTTTGGCAATTTTTTCCTGCCGCAACGTATTCCGGTGAGGCTTGCATTTTGGGGGGGGGGGGGTTGGTGATTGTTTTCTTTCAGCCCCAGTGCGTTCCAATGTGGCTTGCAGTGGAGGGTTTTTTGGTAATTTTTTTCTGGCCTCAACGCCTTCTGATGGGACTTGCATTTTTGGGGGGCTTTGGTGATTTTTTGGGGGGGTGTTTTTGGTGTGTTTGTTTTTTCAGCCCAAGGGTGTTCTGACAGGGCTTCCTGTGTTGTTTATTTTTGGCTTTTTTTTCAGCCCCAGCGAATCCTGATGGGGCTTCCTGTGTTGTTTATTTTTTTTCCCAGCCCCAGCACATTCCGATGGGGCTTGCAATTTGGGGGGGGGGTGATTTGTGGTGTGTTTTTGGTGTGTTTGTTCAGCCCCAGCAGGTTCCAATGGGGCTTGCTGTGCTGTGTTGTTCTAGTTTTTTCCCCCAGCCCCAGTGCATTCCGATGGGGTTTGGTGTGTTTGGTGTGGTTTTTTGACAATTTTTTTTAGCCCCAGCGTGTTCCGATGGGGCTTGCTGTGTTTGTTTGTGGTTTTTCAGCAAAAAAAAAAAAAAAAAAAAAAAAAAAAAAAAAACCAACCCCCAGCACATTCCGATGGGGGTTGCATTATTTTCTTTTGGGGTTTGGTGATTTTTTTTTTCTTTCGTCCCCAACTTGTTTTGATGGGGCTTGCATTGTTTTTTTTGTTTGCTTGTTTGTTTGTTTCTGGTTATTTGTTTTGCCAGCCCCGACGCATTCCGATGGGGCTTGTAGTGTTTTTTTTATTTATTTTGGGACGGCAAATTTTTTCCAGCCCCAACGCCTTCCGATGAGGCTTGCATTTTTTTTGTGTGTGTGTGATTTTTCCCCGCAGCCCCAATGCGTTCCAATGGGACTTGCAGTAGTTGGGTGTTTTTGGGGGGGGGGTAATTTTTTTCAGGCCCAATGCGTTCCAATGAGGCTTGCATTGTTTTTTGGGGTTTGGTGATTGTCTTCTTTCAACCCCGATGCGTTCCAACTGGGCTTGCAGTAGGGGGCTTTTGGTACTTTTTTTCCGCCCCCGACGCCTTCCGAGGGGACTTGCATTGTTTTTTGGATTTTGGTGATTTGGGGAGTTTGTGTTTTTGGTGTGTTTGTTTTTTCAGCCCCAGGGTGTTCCGATGGGGCTTGCTGTGTTGTTTATATTTGGCTTTGCTTTTTTTCCAGCCCCAGTGCATCATGACAGGGCTTCCCGTGTTGTTTTTTTTCCAGCCCAAGCACGTTCCGATGGGGCTCACATTGTTTTGGGTTTTTTTTGGTTTTGGTGATTTTTTGGTGTGTTTTGGGTGCGTTTGTTTTTTCAGCCCCAGTGCGTTCCGATGGGGCTTGCTGTGTTTTTTTGGCAATTTTTTTTCAGCCCCAGCTCGTTCCGATGGGACTTGCTATGTTTGTTTGTGGGGTTTTTTGGCAAAAAATTTTTCAGCCCCAGCACGTTCCGATGGGGCTTGCATTTTTGGGGGGTTTTTGGTGATTCCCCCCCCGCTCCAATGCGTTTTGATGGGGTTTGCATTGTTTGTTTGTTTCTGGTAATTTGTTTTGCCGGCCCCAACGCATTCTGATAGGGCTTGTAGTGGTTTTTTTTATTTTTATTTTTTGGGGGCAATTTTTTTTCAGCCCCGATGCCTTCCGACGGGGCTTGCATTTTTTTTTGGTGATTTTTCCCCCAGCCCTGACGCATTCCAATGGGGCTAGCAGTGGCTGTTTTTTTTGGGGGGGGGGTGATAATTTTTTTCCGGCCGCAACGGATGAATCCCGTTCCAATGCATTCCTATGGGAAATGGTGCTTTGACTTATGACCATTTCAAGTTATGACCATCATTCCGGGATGGATTAAGTTCGTAAATCAAGGCACCACTGTAGTTACATTATCAAGATTTGAGGGAGAATGGAGAAAATGACAGAAGAGAAAAAAGGAGAACAATGACAAGAGGGGGAAAATAGTTTGCTGATATTAAAGTATGATTTCTTTTCCTGGAACAAATCTCTTATTTTAACACAGAGCTTGTAAGGGAAACAGGTGTTGACTTTTAATGTCTTGCTTTATCAGTGTTGTCAAGGAACCACTTAGATCAAAAACATGTAGGGTCCACTGTAGCAAGTGGACAGATTTTTGGCTATAGCAAAACAGAGCAATCCAAAATAGTTCTAAGATTCAAGTATCTTACCAAACTAAAAGCAGAGGACATTTATCCCCCTTCCACACTGTATTGCCTGCATGGCACAGCAGCATCCAAGCAGCTGGTATTGCAGCGGCCTCTAGTGGTTAAGATAAAGAACTGAACATAAAATGTCCTGGTATAGAGCAGGTGTTTCATTTTCAACAGAAGCTCCTTCCTGCAAATAAGCTCCGCGTTTCATGAAGAGGAGTCCAATAAATCAATAATGGAATGGCACACATTGTTCTCTGCAGAAATGTTAGCTGAAATCCAGTAGTAAGTCACAACTAGAGGAGACCCATTGAATCAGTGGAACATATGGAAGAGCCGACATGCCAAATCCCCACTGATTCAATGGGCCTATTCTAATTGCAACGTGCTACTGGATATCAGCCACCGCATCTTTTAGTACTGTTGGGATTGATAAGTGCTCTAGGTTTCCAAGAAAGGGAAGTGATGAAACTTATAGCTAATGTTGCCCATCTGTCAGTTGTGACAGAAAGGCTGCCCCTAAAGTAGTGTGAGTTCTACTTCTATCCTCAAATCCTTCCAGCCCACTGCTTGGAAACCCAAGTGGCTTTTGCCAAAGCCAGTGCTGTTTAGACCAGGGGAAGTGGGGAGGACTCTCACCATCAACCCAATAGTCATAACTGACCCTTCTCAGAGTTATCTTTATTCTTGTTTTATCAGCTGCAGAAATATATGGTTACTGAAAAAAGATGCATTAGTAGGTCATATATCAAGAAATACATCCCATCTCTACTTCTAGCATTACAGTATTGAATTATATGGTAAAACATAGCATAGTGGATTTGGCTGAAATTAAATTATTTTAAACCACATTTATAGATATCTCAGTTCAATCATGTAATTTCATCAAAAAAGTAAATCCTGCTTGTTGTAATCTTAACATATGTTTTTCATTATCCCCCTGCCTGGAATGACTCCATCTCCAAGAATCATCTACTCATCAATACTTTCAGTGTCCAAACATGGGCACTTCCGAGAGCAGGAAAGAGAAGTCTATACCGTACACACAAAGTTGCAAAGGAACAAAAGCTCAAGGAAACAATTGAAACCTTGAATTTTTAATACGGCTTCCTAGAATTTTCAGTATTTTGTCACATTGACAGGAAAAAAGAACTCCATGAGTAACTTTCAGTCTATGTTGGAAAATAAGGCTGATCTGGTCTGTTATTTCTGATCATCATATAATGCTATCAACACATGTATCTGGAAATATAAACCCAGTTGAGAATAGAAAAAAAAGATGGCATCATCTAAACACTAGATTGGCTTTCTTGGATGGTAGAAAAATTGTTGAAATTAATCCATAGAAACCTAAGGAACCCCATCAAAACTGAAGCTCCAGTCCAAGAACTGTTGAACCTAATTTACAAAACTTTTCCAAAAATATTATATGAATATACTATCTCACAATATGGAGTCAGAATTTCTAATCCCTGTTCCATATTGTGATGTTTGATCTATGACACATTTAAAACTAAAATTATCATCACGTAGGCCTTTAAAAAATCCAAATTAAAATTTAAAAATCTGACTGAAATAAAAAAAAATCTTTAAACATTTTGAATCAATGATTTTTATTCCCTCTGGAAAAAAATGAGGTATAAGAAGGAAGACACTGATTTTTTAAAAAATTATTTACACAGGAAGATTTAAAAACAAAAGGATGAGAAATGTATAAAACCAATAGCTGTGAACATGTTTCACAAAATACTAACTAGCTTTCCTCAGACATAACTCTTTTAGTTAATGAAGGTTAACAAATCCATCTTTATAACTCCAGCCTAAATTATTGTTCTGGGACTCAGCAATATTTTCCAGTGTTCTATAGCTCAATACCACACATGCTTTGTCCCTCAACGAAGAAGAAATTAATATCCGAAAACAATCCTAGGGCTAAATCTAATGTTAGTCCGAATAAAACCACTGAAACTAATGGAACGTACATTAAGTGGAGTAACAACTTGTGCTTATTCTAGTGGTTCTCTATTTGGGACTAATATTGGATTTAGGTCATAGACTCCTACAGTCAAACAGGTTTTTCTCCTCGTATATGAATTCATTCATGGTATTTTGCTTGTACTTTTTTCATATCTAAAACAGAATCTTCCTCCTATTCTGAACATGCTCAATAGCACAAGAACTAAAGCTAAAATGAAACAACATCTAATATAAATTTATTATATAAAAACAATTTTGTAAGGTTGGAATGGTTGGAGAGATTAATATTTTTTCATATGAAAAAGCACAAAGGGTAAAATTTAAACTTGTCCCATCTCATAGGAATAGTATATATTATAAAAGGAACAAACACCAATCAGAAAGAGATCCCTTTAAGATAAACATAAAAAGACACTGCATATTTTAAGTTGCTGGCAAGTGTCTGAAACCATGTCATCTTCCAGAATACAAATCAGATTGAGGCATAACCTTAGCAGCAGTTGAGAAACATACTTTTTACAATAACCTCTTTTGAGTTCACAACTATGGACAATGACAACAGATAAAACTTTTCTGCTCAACAAATTTGGGGAAATACTGACCAGTTCTCCAGTTCCTTTAAAAGTTGTAGCAGAACATGTACAAGACATACAAAAAAGATTTTAATAAACTGAACTCCAAAGCTATGACAGACTACAAGCCTTCCGCTGCAATCCACCACCAAAGGCAGCTGACGGCTGGGAAGAAAAAGTTCTTCCAATCTCTTCCCAAAAATTGGTGCTTGAAGTCCTCCTGAGGAAAATCATAAAAGGTGAAGTAACATATTATAGTCATATAAAATGCAGGCCATCAATGGTGTCTTCAAGAGAGTTGTGCTTTTATATAAACAAAGAAACTGAGTTCTTCAGCCTCCTCTAGGTTTCAAAAGGCATCACAGAAGTATTTATTGATTGGTCACATCTGAAATCGGCTGCGTCTCCGATGGAATGCCTCTAAGTTCCACTTCTTTGATTCCAGCATAGAAGATCCATTGTAAACTAACAACACAGTCATTTTTTCTCCGTAAGTAAGGTTCTGCAACAGCTTTTAACAAAGGAAGAAAACTCAATTAGAAACAATTCACTTCCCACTAGTCACATTTATTACTTAACATGCAGCAGCCATATTCTACTTTTCACAGAAACACATACTATTCTCCTTTCTCCTCTTTGATTTACTAAAACCAGGCAATTTTGCCAGGTGGACAAGAAAAGACATAGAGAATAAATAATGAATTCAGTTCACTTTCTGTTGTTATTATTAATCTCTATAGCATTCCTCAATCTTGCCCTGATCGCATAAACATCACGACAACAAGGTAATTTATGGGTGCAACCCACTCTATTTCCCCTACCAGCATGTCTGTAGGATCCCACATTATATATGTAGGAGCAGAAAGATAAGAAAAACTACACACCTTGGCAACAAAAGAAAGAATGACAGTTAAAGGGCACAAAACAGACATTATGAGGGTTTTTTAAAAATGAAAAGAGTTGTTGAGAAAAGAAAAGTTAGGCTAATACAAATTTAAAATATGGATCTCCATGTAACTCTGGGCAGACAATAAACAATGCCCAACATGCTTTGAATTCTGTCAAAGGTTAGAAAATTTGTAACACTGTCACCAAAGCCAGCACCAGGATTAATGGGCTGCTGGGCCATACAGTGGGGTCTCGACTTACGAACAACCCTACTTGCGAACAATTCAACTTACGAACCCGCCCTATAGGGGAAATAAGGACTCGACATACGAACTTCCCTCGAGTTACGAACAGGAAAAAGTGCCCCCTCCCTCCCCTTAGAGGCTTCTGGAGGGGAAAAAAGGGTCAGAAATTTAAAAATAAATAAAAGAAAGTCACTTACCAGGCCTTGGTAGCCCCCAAACAGCAGGAAAAAGAGCAGGAAACAGCTAAAAGCCGACACCCAGAAGAGAGCCTGGCAGCCATTTTGTGATTTTTTTCCCCTCTCCTGCACCCTCCTCTCCCCGCCTATCAGCTGATGGACTGGCTCTGAAAAGGCTTTGGGAGGCTTGGCCCACCCCCACAAATGAAAAAATCAGCACATGTTTTAAAACATGATTTAAAATTGGCTTCGTTGAAAAAAAAGATTTCTAAAGTGCTTTGCAAACTGTTCCCTGCCTTCCTCCTCGTTTCCTGAACCTAAGGGAAAAAAAGAAAAAATATCCCCCTCTAGTGGCAGAAGGCGGAATAGCAGCTTCCCATTAGTTTCTATGGACGGAAAAGAGCAGATACAGATTAAATGGTTTTCAATGCATTCCTATGGGAAATGCAGATTCGACCTAAGAACTTTTCCACCTAAGAACCACCTTCCAATACGGGTTAAGTTCGTAAGTTGAGACCCCACTGTATGTCGTAATTCCCCCCCCCACACACTCACAAAGTTTACTGGGAATGGATGGAGACTGGCAAAAAAACCCAAACTACCCTAAAGTAATGTAAACCCAATTACTCATTACTCTCTCAATCCAACATTGGACAGAAGGCAACTGTATCCACCACTAATATGCTCTTTCTCAAGAGCTCTGGGCCTGACTCCCAATATAATGAAAGACAGGACACAGAACCACTGATAATAAGGAAGTTAGTGGCAACTTCTGCTGTCTCACAGGGAGTGCTTTTCTTCAGAGGTCTGCTCAAGGCAATGGTAACTACCAATACAATCACAATAGTCCTTATTGCCAAGCACTAGGCCCTGCCCTGAGGCACTGCCAATAAAGACAGCTAGCAGATGTGCAAATGGTTTCTGCATCCGTGTAAAGATAATGTACACAAGGCTGCTAAAGCTGTTTGATTTTTGATGCCTGTTCTGCCCGTACCATACACATCATGAACAAATCAAGGCAGAGAAGAAGTTTGGATTATCATTCCCCTTTGGCTAAGATTCTGACAGTGGGAGTTCTGGACTAGGGTGGATGTCGGTCAACAAACAACAATCCCCTCTCTACCTCAGATTCTTTTTCCCACCTTTTTTTCCACAGTCAGGGTAAAAATTCTGTTAGTTTTAGTTATGGAGTCAGAAGTTGACAGTTAGAATGAAGTGTTCTGTTAGCTATTTAACCAGCCAGTTAGTCAGAAATGACGCTAGTTAACCAGTTATGCCCTGTGATATAGTGTTAACATTTTTACACAATATGATGTTTATGTTTATATATGAAGAATTGTATGAAAACAGAACATTTTATTCTTTCTCATTACCAAAGCCTCTGAGTGAATGTATTAAGATAGTAAGTGCCATTGAAGTAAACTAACAAATGGTGGTCTATCGAGGGAGACTTGAAGCTCAATCTGCTCTGTAGGTCCCTGACTGAACCACTTTATCTGCTTCATAATTAGAGGATGTTTATTTTATTTTATTTGTTAAGGCCACACTCAGTTTCTTCATACTCTGCCCCAACAGAAGCAGAGTAGTGGCACAAACATCTACTTGCTGATCCTGATCTACATTCTGTCCACTCCTACCTTAGAACTACAGAAAAAGGTTTCATAGGTAAATATTGAACATCTTGAATTTCACCCTGAATGTATAGACGGAGTAACCAGTGCTATAGCAATAAATTCTGGACAGCAGGAGTTCAGCATGCCTCAAAGGTAGGGTTGCCAGATGTCAGGCAAAAGGAGGACATGCCCTCCTTTTTAGCCTAATGTCCTCCGTCAGGCAGGCAAAGATAAACACCGTTAAAATGTCAGGCTCTTGTATATTTTATGTTATAATTTTGGATGGGAGGGGGAGAGGTGGAAGGACCCCCCTCCTCCTGTCTTTCCCCACCCCCACCCGCTCGCCCACTCCCCATTACCTGCCGCTGGCGCTGGAATGTAGCCCTTGCCCCCTCCTGCAGTGGCGGCGGCTGCTGCTCGGTAATCTGCCATGTCCGTCCAGCCCACATGGAGCCCAGAAGGGTGGCGCGAGTGGAGCACTGCCCATTGAGCCAGGCAGGAACAAGCAGCACCCAAGCGCATCGATGGGAAGGCGAGCACCTGGAGGGTGTGTGTTCAAAGTCCCTTTCGGGGACTCCAACTCCCACATGCTCCAGCCTTGAACTTATGACCCTTGGGAGAGGGGAGGCTGCCTCATTCAGTTTTGCCTGGCGCCGCTTTCCCTTGCCTGCACCGGAGCCTTGTTTGGGTGTCCAGATTAGCAAGGTTGCCTCTGAGCCTGTGCAGAATGCGGGTTGCGGGGGGATCCTGCAGCCGTGCCAGGGTGGGTTCGGGTACAATTTAAATACAGTGGTGCCTCGCAAGACAAGCACCCCGTTCAATGACAAAATCTCATCACGACGAATTTTTTGCGATTGCAAAAGCAATCGCTTTACGATGTTTTAAAATGGTTTTTTGTTTTTTTGTTTTTTTGCTTTGCCTGGTTTTTTGGTTTTTTGTTGTTGTTTTTTTTGCTTTGCGATGATCAGTTACCTGCTTCGGGAACCGATTCTCACAAAACGACGATTTTCGGCCAGCTGATCGGCGGTTCCAAAATGGCCGCCGGGTTAAAAAAAAGGCTCCCCGCTCTTTTCTGGGACGGATTCTTCGTTGCACAGGCAGCGAAAATGGCCGTGCTATGGAGGATCTTCGCTGGACAGTGAGTTTCAAGCCAATAGGAACGCATTAATCGGGTTTTAATTTGTTTCTATGGGCTTTTTTATTTCGCATTACGATGTTTTCATTCTACAGCGATTTCGCTGGAACGAATTAGCGTCGTAATGCGAGGCACCACTGTAATGTTTTTTGGTATTTTAACAAAAAGCCTCCATTGAAAAAATTTTAACTAAGAGATATTTATTGGCAGCTAATGTAATAAAATTGTATTGATTATGGGTTTAATCCAGAACAATTCAAATGAAACATTCAATACATCAACCTCTATCCTCTTTTTTGTTTTTCTATGTCCTCCTTTTGGTACCCATGTATCTGGCAACCCTACTCTAAGGAGAATCCATAATTAATACCCACAGAAAGAAAGAGGGACAGATGTTTTCATTCTGCTTTTCCATTCTTTACATTCAAAGGAGCTAATATACTGGTTAACAACGTCATCATAAAATTCCACAATGGAGTTTAAAGGGCATAACTGCTAAGCTATGCACAATTTCCTAGTAGTAAGCTCCACAAAACTCAGTGGTGTTTACTTCTGATTACATACACTCAAGTTCTAAAGCACAGTGGCAGAATTCTATGACATAAATATGCTGGCATTAACTCCACCAGTGTAAATTTCAGCAGCAATTACCACCAATTAAGAAGTCAGCACTGTGTTGTTGTTTTTCCTGGTGGCACATCAAGTCATATATCTGTTGTGAGAGAAGAAACACCAGCACCAGTTTCTTTACTGGTGGCAATTTGTCACTCAAATTTACACCAAAATGCTGGCAGGCATAGCTGATAGGATTTGGACCAGTGAATTTTAACAAAAGATCTTCAACCAGCTGAAACCCAAGCTTCATCTTTTCATTATAAGCACAAAGAATCTTGTACATAAATACCAGCATTTAAAGTCCTATCCTGAAGTGGAAACCTCATACCAAAAAGATACTAGTGACTATTTATTTTCTTCATTCTCTAACTGTGTCAGTGCTGCCTTGCCACAAGGAATAGAGAGCTGTGAAAGCTTTGTTATCACTTCATTCACTTGCTAGAACATGGAAGATCAACTCTCCTGACACAGCAGCAGGTAGGACAGGTTTTATGGCCTAAATCGAACTGTCAGGCCCATTTAGAGTAGATCCACTGAATCTGCAGAATTTACATAAACTCTGACTTACCCAATTCTCTTTGATTCTAGTTGAGCCTAACAGAAGGATTTAGTTTCACGTTCCTGTCAACCTACCCTGTGAGGCCTTCATCAATATTTTTAATTTGCTACACAAAGAATTCCAAAAATGACAGGTATACAAGATACAGAGTTTTCAGCTACACACCTTAGGTGTAATAAAGAAGTACTGAGAAGTGCTTTCTTTACAGGCAGTTTCTACAACCACATCAAAGACTCGTCTTTCATTAACAGGGTCCATCCCCTAGAAGAGGAAAAAAAAATGTATCAGTACTGCAGTCTCTCCTCCTAAAGAATAAACTGAGGAAATCTTTGTTTTGCCTGGAAATATACCTGATTTATTTCATCTACCACTCTGAAAGGACATCTGTTGAGTTCCTGCAAAGCCAGTAAGTATAACATAGTTGAAACACTCTTCTCTCCTCCACTCTGATGGTGTGGAGTCAGCTCCTGAAGCTGAGTGTTACTACGGAATTTGACTCTTATTCGAATCCCATATTTGTCGTAGTCTTCCTATGAGGACAGGACATTCATGTGAGAGATCTACAAGCTAGCACACAATCACGGATAACAAATACAAGGGTGGAAAGCCTTCCGTGGCTAAAATTCAGTAGTACACTGCAACTGGAGTAGGCCCATTGAATCCATGGAGCTTATGCAAGACCTGACTCACCAAATCCTCACCGATTCAACAGGCTTACTCCAGTTGCAACTTACTACTGGATTTCAACCAGTGGCTTAAATTCAGATGTCATATCAAATCAGTATTTGAACTAACCATTGTTTAGAACTCAAGCCATGTTTTAAGTTTCCAATTATGTAACAGGCAGGGTGTCGATTAGAGCAGCCTGAGCACTTTTGTCTTCCACCTTCTTGAATGAACAAGTTCCATTGCTTGTTACTGTCTCCATGGTGCAAGAGCTTTTATAGGCAGAGAAATAAATAAGCAATACCTTATCACTCAGACACAACACTGAAAGACACTTTTTACACAATCAATGCTTCAAAATCTGCCTTCAAAACACAGAAATCGAAATCTTAACTGCCAACAATGGCAAATTATAACTTATTAATTCACCTGCCAAACCAAACCACAGTTTAGGTTCTACTATGCCAGTATAGTGAGCTGGAAACTCTTCATTCAGCCTGGGAAGCAAACAGTGTGGCAGTGAAGCATTTTAAAAATAAGCATTTACTGAATATATTTCTGTGTTTCAAGAGGAACTTCAAAATGCATCTCCACAGAGGTGAACAGTGAGCCAGTCATGAATATGTCAGAAAGTAAAGAGGTAAGCTTATGGACACCACTAAGGATAGGCCTGCCCCCACTAAGCCCAATTATTTTTTGCTAGTAATGTTACAGTCTATCTCTGGACTAGATCAGATGGACAGCTCTTTAATCTCTCTAGACTGAGAGCAAAGACCAAAGTCTAACTGAAATGCATGCGGGACTTCCTCGCCGATGATGCAGCCATTGTTGTCCACTCTGCTGAAGACCTCCAACACCACATGAATTACAACAACCACATGAATTGTTTAAGCAAGGCCTGCCAAGACTTTGGACTAACAATCAGCCTGAAGAAAACACAAAGTCATGGGCCAGGGCGTGGACTCACCTCCCTCTATTACCACCTCCACGCAAGAATTGGAGGTTGTTCATGATTTTTGTGTACCTTGGCTCAACAATTTCTGACACTCTCTCCCTAGATGTCAAGCTGGATAAATGCACTGGCAAAGCAGCTACCATGTTCTCTAGACTCGCAAAGAGAGTATGGCTTAATAAGAAGCTGAAGGCATACACCAAGATCCTGGTCTATAGAGCCTGTGTCCTGAGTACACTCCTGTACTGCCATGAGTCCTGGACCCTTTGTGCACGGCAGGAGAGGAAGCTGAACATGTTCCATATGAGTTGTCTCTGGCACATTTTTGGTATCACTCAGCAGGACTAAGTTCCAAATAGAGCAAGGTGGAATTTTTAGCATTTATACATTACTGAAACAGCGAGGTCTACATTGGCTTGGGCACATCGTGAGAATGGCTGACGGTCGGATTCCAAAAGATCTCCTGTATGGAGAATTAATGCAGGGAAATCGCCCCAGAGGGTGACCACAGCTGCGATACAAGGATATCTGCAAGTGTGATTTGAAGGCCTTAGGAAAGGACCTCAACAGATGGGAAACCTTGATATCTGGGCGTTCAGCCTGGAGGCAGGTGGTGCATCATGGCCTCTCACAATTTGAAAAGACCCTTGTCCAGCAGGCCGAGGCGAAGAGGCAGTCCCGAAAGCAGTAAAATTAGGGAGCTGGACAGGGGACAGATTGTATTTGTCTTCAGTGTGGAAGGGATTGTCACTCTCAAATCGGCCTTCTCAGCCACACTAGATGCTGTTCCAAGTCCGCCATACAAAGCACGTTACCATAGTCTCTCAAGACTGAAGGATGTCTACACACAGTCATGTTATTCTTCCTCTCAGCTGCATGCTACACTGCTACTGAAATCTGCATTTTACTCAGAAGTAACCTTCATCATGTTTATTGGGACTTAATCTTAGGAATCTGTGCTAAGACTGCAGCCAACATCGTTGACTTTACCAACACCACCCCGCAAACTTTAGCCTACACAGAACTGAGTCAGACTGTCTTGGTCTTCAAGATGCTAATTCTGGATACCATTTCTTAATGTGACACTAAGGTTATTAAAGAGCATTGGGAACCATTTTTATGAATACTGACTGTTTGGGTGCTGTAATTAGAACCACTGTTTACACTGTATCAGATAAAACAGAAGTGTTTAAGACCATTAATTTTTAATATCACTGTAAGAGAACAGTTTATACTTCTCAAGAAAGGGTGCTACTACCTTTCCACAATTTTTACTCACTTTCAGCCAGTGACGTCACTTGAGGTTGACAAGGATCACTGTCATGCCACTACCTCCTCCCTTGACCCTTCCCCAGCCTGGCTAATCAAAGTGGCGAGGCCTGTGATAACTGAATGGGCCACTTCAATAATTCCCCTTGCCCTCAAGGACACTCATTAGGCCTATTAGGAAGAAACCAAGCTTGGCGGCAGATAACATTGGCAATTATAGGCCCGCTGGCAATGTTTCTTTCCTTTGCAAGGTTGTAGAGAGGGTGGTGGCCAATCAGCTTCACACTGTTTTGGATGAAACCAATGCCCTGGATCCATTCCAGTCGGGCTTAAGGCCACATCACTGTTCGGAAACGGCACTGGTCGCCCTGCTTGATGACCTACTGAGGGAGGCCAATAGGGGCACAATGTCCTTGTTGGTTCTCCTTGATATCTCAGTCGCCTTTGATATTGTCGACCACAGTATCCTCCTGGGACGGCTTTCCAAATTGGGGATCGGTGGCCTGCCTCTTGCCTGGCTCCGGTCCTTCTTGGAGAACCATTCCCAGAGAGTTCAGCTTGGAGAGAATGTCTCGGCCCCGTGGCTCCTCAATTGTGGGGTGTCGCATGGCTCAATCATCTCTCCAATACTGTTTAACATCTATATGAGGCCGTTGGAAGGGGTCATCCAGGGATGTGGTGCTTCATGTCATCAGTATGCTGATGACACACAGCTCTACATCTCCTTTTTTTCCAACAGCAGTGGATGCCGTGGATGCCGTTGCATCCCTTAAGTGCTGCCTGGGGGCTGTACTGGAATGGATGCAGGAGAATGGACTGAAGCTGAACCCGGACAAGACCGAGATCTTGAGGGTGGGCACCCCTTCTATTAGTGGTTTGGGAAGCTCCCTCTCTTTTTGGGGTGCGACTCTCAGCACAAAGAAAGTGGTCCGCAGCTTGGGGGTCCATCCTGACCCAGCGCTTACCATGGTATCCCAGGTAGCATCTGTGGTCCGCACCACCCATCTCCATCTTCGGCGGATTGCCATCTGTGCTCGATGTTGGGGCACTCACCACTCTGGTCACAGTCTCAAGATTAGACTACTGTAATGCGCTCTACGTGGGGCTGCCCTTGAAATTGATGTGGAAACTACAAATGGTCCAGAACATGGCCGCCTACTCTGGTGGCCTTACACTAGTTGCCCATTTGTTTTCGCATTGATTTCAAGGCATTAATGCTTACATATAAAGCCCTAAACGGTTTAGGACCTCAATACCTGGCGCCTGCTCCCACCTAGCTCTACTCGTGTCACTCAATTGAGCCAAGCCAGGCGGCTGAGGGGCTTGACCCCGAGAGAGGCCCGGAAGGAGAGAATTAGAAATCAGGCCTTCTCGGCAGTGGCCCCACACCCCTGGAACAGCTTGCACCTGAGATTCACCAGGCACCGTCGCTGGGAGTTTTCAAGAACAAGCTGAAGACTTGGTTCTTCAGGCTGACCTCCCCTCACTTTCCATCACTTAGTTCTTTGTGTTTTCCCATCTTGGACTCTGCTCATCTCTCTTTTGTTCTAATATTGTCTGTTTTAATTCTTGGTTTTATATTGCTCAGACTGTAAGCCGCCCAGATGGGCAGGGTAAAAGCTGAATAAATAAATAAATATTTCCAAAGCGATAATACAAGGAAGCAATCAAATATGCAGATTATTCTTCATTCTTTAATTGACGAGTTAAAATTCATCCATGCAGGGGACAGATTTCCTTGCAGCCTTAAACAATAATCTGAGTAAATCATACCTCATTTGCTGTATGAAGATCCACTTCTCCCGCACACTGCATAGAGCTAAAGAAGTGACTAAACTTTTCATTGATTTGCTCAACCAGCTGCTTCAAAGGGTTTAGCCATCTTTCCTTAACCTAATAAGAGATTGATGCCTTGTTAACAAAATTTTACAAGCAGGAGATGCTATATTCAGTATTTTAGAAATAATTCAACTGGTGTGTTAAGTACAGTACGTTAGTTATTTATATCCTGCCTTTCTTCCAAGGAGCAAAAGGCACTGCATATGGCCATTTCCCACCCCTCTTTATCTTCGCAACAACCCTATGAGCCAGAGGGAGATTTACCCAGTTTGTTTCATGGCCACGTGAGGATCTGAACCTGGATCTCTGCTGTTCAAGGCCACGGTTCTAACTACTACACCAAACAGGCTGTCCCTAAGTGTTAAGTAAGTATTAAAAGCCAACTTTTCATAGTGTTTCTAATCATCATCATCTTGTCTTCTACCATGTGAGAAAGTGCAGGTAGGTGCAGCAGGGCCCTGCACTAGGTGTAACCCAACGTTGGAGAGGAATAGAGGAGGGGGAAGGGGGCCGGCTGCACTTTTGTTACCGCATGGGGAAAAGGAGCTGCAGAGGCTCTGCTTTATTGCACCACATGGCTAGTACAATGTGCACTGATCCAGGCAACTACAAGACCATAGACTATCAACCCCATACCCATTTGCAATGTGCACAAGCCCATCCTGCTCCTATCCATGGTTCCATGGCAATATCTTCTATTCTTCAGAACAGAACAGTTAGCATGTGCTGCCCTACTGTTGTTTGGTTTACACCAGAACAGCAATGCGGGGCGATGGGGAGGCAGAGAGGGCACCCCACATGTATACAGGTCCTATTTTACTGGCTGCTTCTGTCAGTCAACAAGTGTCCACAGTTCATGGTATTCTTTCAGGTGTGCATTCGTCATTTACACAGCGCTTGCCAGGATGGCTAATGGATGGTATTGATACTTACAGTTTAGTTATTATAACCCAACAGCCATTTATGCTTTCTCCTTAACGTAGAGGTTCTCAAACTTTAATACCTTACATCCCACTTTATCAAACTAATTCCCATTACGATATAAACAAAAAGCCCTTTTTTCTGACAAGGTCATTTGTATTGTATCTCATTATTATATTTGCCACTTACAATAAGTTGGTGGGCAGTGAGAACACAGGATTAGGAGAGACGCTGAGGGCTGAGAGTTATAACCAGCATGCCAAAAGGTTGCTGATGGATAACTCACCACAGATGGGGACAGTAAGGGACAGGATATTACTTTTGAAGAAGAAAACAAAGACTGAGGAAGAACAAATTTGTAGCAGTTGTTGCAAAAAAGTATATCCCCCACCTTGTCTATGTCTGTGCCCCATTAACTTTATGTGTGCTAATAACTGAGAAACAATCTTAATAGATACTTATTTCAGTGCCAAAAATACCTGTGAAAATAATGGCAATAGCAATTCGCTCACAATACCTGTGAAATGTTTTGCCTATAGTTGTCCAACTCGTTTTTTTTCTCCTCCAGCTCCAATGTCACCCGTGCTATTTCTTCTGTCCTTTTATTATATTCATCAATGACCTAGTAAGAAAGGGTTAGTCTCTTCCAAATGGACAATATCAACATATTCCAGTCCAAATCCCATGGTGCTTATAGTTCATTCTCTCCCCACCCCACCCCCAATTCCTTCTGTATCACACACATGCGCAACGCCAAACCTGATGGATGGTTTGGGAAAGGAGGTGCATATCCAATGTTCTATCTCAGACCAGCCCTCTGAGACTAACCTGTCAGAAAAGGCAACTTGGAGATGTTCATGAGTTTTCAACCAGCCCTCCCAATAGAAACCAGTATCAGGGCATAGAAAAGTCACCTTTTTAGACTATAACTCAGAGAACCTGGGATTCTAGGAGATATAGTCCCAAAAAGTACCTTTTCTGAAGCCATGTTATCTCAGGCTGCTCCACACAAATGGGCTCTTTATGGAAGGGCCACAGTTGTCAGCAACAGCTGTGACAGGGAGAAGCAGATGGTAAGCTGTTTCATGAGATATTCAGGACCAGATATGGAGAGACAGCATCTCACAGTGTTAAGAAAAATAGTTTTCTTACACTTTAAATACTGTTTTGGTTCAAGCACTTTGCAGCCTTTTTCAGGGACACAATTTAGCAATGTACAGTGAAAGTCTCTTTTGATCCGGCTCCCAGCTCCACTAAACTACAGCTTGGGCTGAAATACGTTGGGCAGTTTTTAAAGTGTAGGAAACCCCATGTTTTCTTGACACCTGAAACTTGGTCTCTCCTTCATATTTGGGTCCAAGTAGATATTTCCAGTTTCTTTAGGTTTTTATATTCAGGACCAAGGAAGATCAAAGGGTCTTGTAGTAGCAGAACATGATGGCAGTGGCAGCAAGAGGTGAAAAGACTGTGCAAGGACCTGTTGAGAGAAAAGGCCATCCAGCATGCCTGGCGAAAAACCTCAGCAATGCCTCTTTCTGCTTAGTCCAAACCCTTTCCATTCAAACTCTAAAAATCGTCACTACCTTCTTTTGAGGTATTCAGGACTCTAACGAAAAAGATACTTTGGCTTCTAAGAAGACAAGGGCATCTGTGTCTATTTCGCTGTTCTGACAGAACTCTAAGTCAGCCAACATTTATTGCAGTACAGTCGTGCCTCGCTTTACGACTGCCCCGCATTACGACGAAACCGCATTATGACGATCTTTTTGTGCTTGCGATTGCGATTGCAAAACAATCGTCTGAATAGGGGTTTTTCGCGTTGCGATGATCAGTTCCCTGCTTCGGGAACCGATTCTTCGCAAAACGATGATTTTCCTCCAGCTGATTGGTGGTTTCAAAATGGCCGCCGGGTAAATAAAATGGCTCCCTGCTGTTTTCTGGAACAGATTCCTCGCTGCAGAGGCACCGAAAATGGCCGTCCTATGGAGGATCTTCGCTGGATGGTGAGTTTCCAGCCCACTGGAACCCACTGAAGGGGTTTCAATGCGTTTCAATGGGCTTTTTATTTTCGCATTACGTTTTCGTTCTACAGCGATTTCGCTGGAACGAATTAACGTCGTAATGCGAGGCACCACTGTACTTCGATTAATTTTTTGTTTGAGCTCCCCTATTTCCTTGGCATGGGCTTTCTGAGACACATGCACTAATGCCTGCCAAAGACACTCAGGTAAACCTTTCATGTATCCCTTTCCATCATGCCTAAAAGTGAAGGCTTAATTTTGTTTGGACTGATGAGGAGGAAATCCAGCTGTGAATTTGAATCTCTGCCAGATTATGTTAAAGAGAGAGCAAATCTCTCTTTACTGGCATCCTCTTAGCAGACAAGTCATTTACAGAACCAACCTAGATGAGTAAAATACAGCTTACCAATAATATTACGTTATATTTCTAGCCCAAATAAAATGGACCCGAGGCATTGCTGCACTTCTAATACAAATATAGATTCAAACTATACATACTCATGCCAAATCCATTTGTAAACATGAGATCTACTCTAATAAAATACAAAATAGGAAAGACTCGAGTTAAGAGCAGAAATTACATGTGATGGAGAACTGAGGGAAGTACGTGCTTCCCTCAACTTTCTAAAGTACATTGCTTGGAACTTCTTTTCCTCTCCAATCGTGCAGGAAGGGGACTAAGCCACTGTAAAGGAATACCTTAATTTACAGAAGGTAAAGGGGGAACTGGTATTAAGAAAACAGGTCTGCTGCCATCAAGTGTCGTATTTTTTCTTTCCTTTTTTTAAAGAGCAGAAAGAGGGTAGAACACACTGGTCATGGGGGAGGAACCCTTAAAATTCTAGAAGACTCAGAAATTAGCATTTGCAATGCATTGTTCCTGCTGCTTAGCTTACTATTATTACTATCACCAAGCAACCTACTACAGTGTGGGATTAAATGGGGGTGGAGAAGTACATACTGAATCACTGAAGCCTGTGATGCAGGAAGCTCTTGATTTCTCCTCATTCAGTAAAGCATCAATTTCATCCAATGTGCTTGGAACGCTTTGAAATGCCTAAGAATAAAAAGGACATTTGTGTGAAGGAAGGTTTCTGTGACATTGCAAGTGTTTCTACTAAGATTTATAAAGACCCGTTTCTTGTAGGGAAACTGATTTTAAAGGAAGCAAGCATCTAATTTTCTTTATTATTTAGTGTCAGAAACTCTGGGGAACACAGAGAAGTACTTGTAAATTTACTTAGTGTCTTTGCTTATTTTTAAAAAAACCTGGCAAATGCTGCCCTTTTATGGAGCTTCCCACACCTTCTTCACAAGCAGCACTGAGTAAGAATGAGATATATTGCTGTTGAGTCTTTCTAAGGTTCGGCGTGACCTGTGCACATGCAAGGGCAGATCCACTATGAAACTAATGAAGTTCAGGGCACCTAATCCCAAAGCAGCTCTAGTCTAATTTTTAAAAATGTTTTAATTTACATTTTAAAAAATTAAAACAATTTTTAAATGTGGTGATCTGTCATGAAACAATCCCAATGATGAAGGTAACAGTAGTCATCCAAACCTCTTTGCCGGTTGTGAAGGGGACTTGTAACTTCACGGGCCCCAAAAATGTGGGGTTGCCACTGTGTACATTCTTGAAATGGGAGGAGAGTGAAGACTTGGCTTCTCAATTCTGATGTGCCTTAGAAGGTGCTCCAAGTCTCTCTGAAGCTCTGTGTGAAATCACAGGCAGGACAACCTCTCTTCCTCCACCTGTAATTCTTCAAATGTGATAGTTCACTTAAATCTATTCCTGAATCCAGAGGGTATGCAGCTGCAAGTAAGCCTTACTTAGAGATTCAAAGAGGTTTAAAATAGACATGGGAGAAGCAGAGTATGGTACCCCACACTCCTACTATTGCTCCCCATGTGTGGAAATTCCTAATTTTTCAAGGGTATGGGACAGAGCTTTTCAGACAGGTGTTCCCTCCATGAGGAGAGCAGAGAGGAAAAATGAAAAGGGTGGAATGCTCTCCTACTCAAGAGGTAATCTCAATCCCTTTTTGAATGCCTGAAATACAGGCATGTAGTCATGTGTTAGCACCAGAAAAGAAAAAAATCCAGATCAGAGTTAAGAAATGAGAGATCACTTCTTTCCATTCCATTTAATTTTTGTTTTGTTTACTCAGAGCTGGTATCTCTTCTCTTTCCTGAGTGAGGTGACTATTCAAAAGGCAAGGGGGAGGAGAGGGGACCCCACCTGAAGTTTGGGGTTGACTTGCTACTGGTCCTTTGAGATACCCTTGAAAACCCTTGAATAGAGCTGTCCAAGTGGAGACTGCTCTGGTAGAATGGGCCTGCAGTCTGTCCAGTATAGGCTTATTAGCAAGCTGGTAAGCCAGTTGTATGAGCTGGACAATCCATCTGGGTATTGACTGCGGAGAAGCAGGAGCACCTTTATGTGGTCCATGATAGCACAGGAGGAGACGCGGGGGAGCACCAAATGTGTTTGGTACGATGAAGATAGGAGGCAAGAGCTCTTCTGACATCGAGGGTATGGAGTTTACGCTCTACTGGTGTGGATGGAGAAGGAAATAATGCTGGAAGCACAATGGGCTGGTTGATGTGAAAATCTGATACCACCTTCGGCAAGAAGAAGACATTGAGGTATAAAGTAACTCAGGATGCGTTTGGAAGGGTCTGACCGGAGTGCGGCTAGTTCACTTGCTCTTCTGGCAATGTGATGGCTACGAGAAAGGCAGTCTTTAGAGAAAGCAACTTCGAGGAGACATCGAGGTATAAAGTAACTCAGGATGCATTTGGAGGTAAGGAGGGTCTGACCGGGGTGCGGCTAGTTCACTTGCTCTTCTGGCCAATGTGATGGCTACGAGAAAGCCAGTCTTTAGAGAAAGCAACTTCCCGGAACAAGTAGCCATAGGTTCAAACGGTGGCTTGGTAAGGGCTCCCAATACGAGTGGAAGGGGCCCAGAACAAGTAGCCATAGGTTCAAACAGTAAGGGCTCCCAATACGAGTGGAAGGGGCCATTGTGGTACGATGTGCTGTGAAGGCAGCTGGATATTCTGGAGACCTTTTAAGAATCTTTTAAGTGTAGGATCGGAGAAAAGCCTGGTGGAGCGAGATTGAGGAGGTTGATGAGCCACGATTGCTGAAATGTAGACTTTGAGAGTGGAATGAGCCAGTCAAAGATTGAAGAGGCGGAATATGTAACAGAAAGGTAAGTACCGTGGATATGGATGCCGGTACTGTGACCATACCTTCAGATTGGGCAAATTTAGTAAAGGATTTCAATTTACTGTCGTAGAGACGAGAAGTAGACGGCTTTCGCACTTGGTCTAGGATCGTATGGAATTGGAGGTTATCCTCCACGCCGTCAGGTGAAGAGACTGGACATTGGGATGGAGAAGGGCCCCATCATTTTGCGAGAGGAGGGACGATATTGAAGGTAGGTGGAGTATGTCCTCCGCTATTTCCGATAGGTGGGCAAACCACGGCTGGTGCGGCCACCATGGGGCGATGAGGTTTGCGTTTGTTTGATATTGAATTATTCTGGTTACAGTCTTGAGAAACAGTGGTATTGGATGAAACAGGTTAAGTTCTCCAGACCACGGTATGAGGAAGGTGTCTCCTAGGGAGGAGGCGTCTATGCCCGCCCTGGAGCAGTAATGGTTGCATTTGGCGTTCAGATGGGATGCAAAGAGATCTATCATGGGCTGTCCCCACCATCAGCAGATGTCCAGAAAAACTGCTTGGTCGAGGACCCACTCATGCATTCTGGTGGGCAGCCTGCTCAGGTGGTCCACCAGGGAATTGTCCCTGGATGCAATATGGATCGCTTGAGGGAAAATGTGGTGCATACGGCACCATTCCCAGAAATGTATGGTCAACCGAAGGAGGGGCAGGGATCGAATTCCAACCTGTCTGTTTATGTAGTGCATCACTGTGGTATTGTCCGTTACCAGCTGTACCGCACGTCCCTTGATACGTGGCAGGAAGGCTTGGAAGGTTTTTATGACAGCCAACAGTTCTAACTAGTTTATATGAAGGGCCTTTTGGTGTGTCATCCAGAGGCCATGTACTCGTAATTCTTGGCAATGAACCCCCCCCAACCTGAGGGGCTGGCATCTGTGATGGCCTGTATGGACAGGTACAGAGGATGAAATAGCCGTCCCATTGACAGGTTTTTGGGGATAGTCCACCAGATGAGATGTTGCGCTACATGAGGAGGGACCTGTAACTTTTTTGCAGGAAGGTCCGTCATTGGATCGTACTGGGTGAGGAACCAAGACTGAAGTGATCAGAGCTTGAGTCTTGCATGAAGTACCACCGAAGTGGTAGACACCATCAGACCTAAGAGATGTTGAGTATTGTGCGCCGCTTGTATCTTGAGGATTCTCTGAGGCGGTAGGAACGCTCTTGTGTGAATAGAATCCAGAATAGCTGCTATGTAGGAGACAATCCGGGAAGGTATGAGGTGCGACTTTTTCCTGTTGATTTTCAACCCAAGTCTGTTTAGGGTATATAGTGTGAAATTTGTGGCGGAGACTGCATCTTGATAGGATTTTGCCATGAGAAGCCAATCATCAATGTAGGGAAAAAGTTTTATCCCTTTGGTATGAAGGTATGCCAAGACTGGGGCCATGCATTTTGTGAATGTCCTGGGGGCTGTGGAAAGCCTGAATGGGACAGCAGTGAACTGGAAGGTGTCGTGGTGGAACCGGAACCTGAGAAATTTTTGATGAGAAGGGTGGATGGAAATGCATCCTGCAAGTCGATGGTGACAAACCAGTTTCCCTGAGACAGAAGAGGGAGAATGGAGTCAAGAGTCAACATACGGAACTTCTTGTATATTATGTACTGATTAAGGTCTCTAAGATCCACGATGGGTCTTATACCACTGTCTTTTTTGGGGACTGCGAAGTAGCGAGAGAAAAAGCCCTCACTGGTGTCAGAGGATGGTACTCTGGTTATAGCCCCTTTGGAAAGTAGACACGAAATTTCCAGATGCGACGGCATGGAAAATGGAATCGTTTTAACCGAATTTGGTAAAGGGGTTAATGAGAATTCAATCAGATAGCCTTTCTCGATGATGTTAAGAACCCACTTGTCGGTGGTGATGTTGCACCATTCGGAAAGGAACGGAAGCAGTCTGGTAGTAAATGAAACATTAGGAGAATTGCTTACCCCTGTGCTAAGTCTTACGTAAGGACTGCTTGGGGCTGTTGTTGCTTGAACAGCGTTGTTGCTTGAACAGCGGAGCAGTGGCGAAAACGTTGTTGCTTGAACAGCGGAGCAGTGGACTGTTGAGATGGATAGATCCTGCTGCTGTTTATTTTACCAAAAGGGTTGTTACTGAGTGGAGGATTGATATAGAGGCTTTTTGTAGGCCTGTTTGTGGTACCGATACAAATGGTATGGTACGGAGGATTTTGCTGTCTTCCTCATTTTGTGAATGTTCTCCATAATCTTGCCAGTTTTGGAGTTAAAGAGTCCAATAGCATCGAAGGGAAGATCTTCGATTTTAGTCTTAGTGTTGTTAAGTATGTTAGCTGTTCTGAGCCATGCATCTGATGGCTATCGCGGTTAGCATGGACTTGGAGGTGGTGTCAGCCGTGTGTTTAGCGGTGAACCTCTGTTGCCTGGTGAGGGTATTAGCCTCTTCGAAGACATTGAGGGCCTCAATTTTAGAAGGATCGGGCAAAGTTTGTAACATCGGGAGCATTTTATCCCAAAGATGTTTCTGGTAAGCGTCCATGGCCGCTTGGTAGCTGGCTATTTTGATTAGTAGGGCAGCAAAGGCATAAAGCTTTTTGCCTAAGGTATCTGTCTTTTTTCCCTCTTTGTCAATGGGTGTAACAGATGACTGAGTATGCGACTTATATTGGGTAGCTTCAACCACAATGGAGTTGGGTGAAGGATGCTTAGTGAGGAATTCAGAGTCTGATCCATGGGTTTTATAGTGATGTTCTATCTTGAAAGGGACTTGGACCGTTGCAGGTGACTTATCCCATGAAGTTTTAACCATCTTGAAGAGAGCTGGTATAAGATTTAGACTAGGAGGGGAGGCTTTGTCCTGCTCCATGTCGTGAAAGACTAGGTCCCTTTCTTGTTGCGCGATCTGTGCATCTCACTGGAGAGTCTTTGCCATATGCATGATGAGTTGTGTGTATGATGAGAAGTCCTCCAATGAGGGTTGAGATGATGAAACCTGACCACCTGCATCAGGAGCGTCAGAGTCACTGGATGCCGAAGAATGGTCAGCATGAAAGGATCGCAAGGCGATTGAAGTGAAGTGTCATGGTACCGTGTCCTCTGGTACAATGTCCATGTCAGACTGAGTGGATGGAGAAAAAGGCTCAGTATCGTGATCTGCCAGACCAGAGTAGAGAGTAGTAGCCTGAACTAAGGAGTGATGGCTGCTGTATTTAGCGCGTTTAGGAGGCGCTGTAGGTACTGTAGTTCGCCTCTATCTGGAGGTGCCTGCAGTGTGGAGAGATCCACTTGGGTCTGTGAATGATGTTGCATTGGAGGGGCTACAGTATGGTCCCACGCCGGTTGAGGAAAGGTAGTGCCTCGAAACTCTGGTGGGTAAGCGTAGC